AGTCAGCATATTAATATTTGTGCAATATATTGCAATATAATTTGAGTAGGTACCACAAATGAAAATGCAGGCGAATACCTACTTATTAAATAGGTATACAATTATTAAGTTCAAACTCACCTGAGGTCCGATAGTAGTAACAATATACTCAATCTCCTTTGGACAAATTCTGGGATGTTTCTGTGGTGTGTCATAGACAAGTAACAGCCAGAAAATAAACCATACGACGCCAATACCGCCAAAAATGTAGAAACAGAGAGGCCATCCACCGGCAAACTCTAGGGTGCACAGCCATCCTGATATAGGTAATGTAATCACTGTGCCTATGTTTGAACCTGAAATAAGAATAAATCATCTAGTCTTGGCTACTGAGAAGTTAACTACGACTATGGGTCGACTATGACCCGCAAAAGATGGAAACAAATATTAATAGAACCAGCTAGAATGACAGTATAGTTTTTATGTTGCGGCCTGCAAGTTCTGTTGTACTGTGTATTACAAAAGTGTTTTTTAGCGAAGACCCCGACTAGTTTCAAGCGCGATCCACGATGCGGTATGCTGCTCATGAATATGCTCATATCGATGAGCAGCATTGACCTTTTTTTTTTTAATTTGTAACTCTGACTCTCTTAAAGTCCTCAAACATTAAAATTTTGCCCACCACTATTCTCATCTATATCTTATTACAAATAATTTTATTTGTCTGTAAATACAAAAATATTCTCATAATTTAAGGAGGCATACTATTTAATTAATAACATAATAACATACTTATGAATTAGACTGAATATATTAACATGCACTAATACATAAACAGAGTAACATTATCATAATTATAGAATAAATTTGAATTATTTTTGAAGACGATTGTTAAATTAATTATTAGATAATACATACCAGCATATACATAAGCTGCAAACTTAGATCTTTCTAATGGAGGAATCCATCTTGCTAGCATAGCATGCATCGCTGGGTAAGTAACACCTTCAGCTAAACCAGCCAGAGCACGGACAGCAATGAAGAATGAAATATCTGTATATGCAGCGATTGGACTTAAAATTGTAAATACTGCGGTGAAAAATATCCCTAGACCATAAACTAGTTTGCCTCCATACATTTCTGCTATCCTTCCTCCTGGGATCTAAAAACAGAAGAATAAGGTTTAAATTTGAACAATATTTTACTAACTCTATGCCGTTTACTATACAAACTGTAATGATTGGAATTTGGAATGTATTATTTTTAATTAATTATAAGTTACTCCTTTATTTCAAAAGTTGTTAGGTACCTGAGTAAGTACATATCCATAGAAAAATGAGCCTAAAACAATACTTTGTTGTTGTACAGTCCAGTTGAAATCTCCAGGCCTCTATAACAAAAGAGAAAAATAATATTTATAATCTATGCTTACACTCATCTATGAGTCACTAAAACAAATTTTAAAGCTTTTGTTTATGATCTTAGGTACTCAATAAAAAGTTGTATTACTAAAACAATTTTGATTCTCTTGTGACTCAATAAAAATAACTTATTGATATTGTACTAATGTTATTTATTACTGACTACAGTATTTATTATAATATGTGAAATAACAGCTTTCATATAAATGGATAATTCCTAAGATAAACATTACTGACATCTGTAGTTTCAATAATATTAAAAGTGTTATAAAGGATGGTTTAATGTTTTATTTTTGTTTAGATTGATACACAGTTTTGTCTGAAACTCATAATAAAAACAAACATGATATGTAAACAAACTACTTACAATTGTATTATCTAACAATGATGTCTAGCAATAAGTTAATATCATAGAAATGATATCTTTAAATCATAGATTAAACTGTCAAACACCAAGCGGTCACCGGTGACCGCAACCTATTGTTCTATAATTGTGTCTACAAAACCGGTACTCGACGAGTTAAATTAAAATATTTATTACCTGTGGTACAGAACTATTGCTGCTTGGACCGGCTGGACAAACATCAACATCTGATGAGTTAGATGGTGTAGGTGTTGTAGAGTTAACCATAGCCACTATAGCCACTGAGAGGTTCACTCTCATGGCATACACACTGGCAAAACCCAGGAACCCCATAATGCCAAGCACAGTTCGACACTTGATCCATCCTGTAGTTTCTTCCACTAAAATGTTTTAGACATGAGTATTTATTATGGTAAAAATTTGTTTATTTATTTATTTGTGAAACGGACGACATAATTTCTAGTTCCAACAATTCATAATATTCCACAAACAATAGCACTACGCTAGTTAGTTTAATTTAGAAATGTCGTGACTAGGCTAACTTATTACCTACAGAGATGATCATAAACATAAATCCTAATTTAGTATTTATACATACGCGTTTCTGTTGCGCGTGTTCACCATTGTATTACGAACTTGGATTTAATTTGACCTTTAAAGTTAGATAAAAATGCGCGTATTGTTCTAAGGTCGAGTAAACAACAAAACCTTACCTGGTTCCGCCTCCACCAAGTTCCGACGGCTACTCGTAACATCATTTTCTATATCCGAGTTTATAATCGGACTTTCCTCTGCTGACGATGCCATTCTAACGTTCTAAATTACAATATCAACACCATTCCGCACTAATATTGTTACTTAAATTGAACCTTTGTCACTGAACTTTATATCATCTAACACAATTGTTGGTAAGTTGCGTTTAAAATCTGTTACACTGCAGTTCCAGTATGAGTCACTGCATAGACTTTTTGTTGGAGATTTATTTAATTTGTTCGTAAACAAAGAACTCGCTTCTCGTTTCGTTTAAGCAACTGACAGTGACATGACAGCTCAAAATTCAAGTTGACACTAAAATGACAGATAAATAGATTCCTGTGTCATTACGTTTTGATCTTTAATGTAATACGTTTTATTATCAATTTTAATACAAAATTATTGTGACTCTTTCATCAATTCAGTTTAAGTTGGTTAAGACACTGAATTTATGTAAGCATCTAAGTAATTCTTGATTGATCTTTATTTAACCATGTCAGCCACCCTGATATGATGAGCAGCATCAGCATCCTGTAAAATTTCGGTGACTGCAAGAAGTGCAACTATCACAGATGCACTTCTTGCATGCATTCACATCACAGTTGCACTTCTTGCTTGGCGTGTGGCCTAAGCCACACGCCATGCATGCAGACTATAGTAAAACTCTGGCACCCTGATGATGATGATGATGATGATTTTAACTAATGAGGTAATTCCAAACGCAAACAAGGAAAAGGGGAAATGATAACTCGGCAACATTTTTACTAAAATGTTTTATTAACCAAATAATATTTAAGAATATGAAAATGTAAATGACTATAAACTCATTAAAAAAATTATTGTCCATTCATCTTCACTAAGTACATTAGAATGCCAGCGACCAAAAAACACATTGGCACAATACCAAACTTTCTAGTTTGTTTTACTAACGAATATTTAGCTGTCTAGCTAGGTATATAAAATCTTAATATGAAAATAAATATTTTTTACAGACTTAAAATTCCCATTCAAACTACAACATTTAGATACACCCATAAAAATGAACACATTGCCCTCCTTTGCATCATGCGGTTGGATAAGACTTAACAAACAGCCCTATAACATAATATCTTTAAATTAAATTATTAAATTTAGAAAAGAGGCCATAAACTTTTGCACACTGTAGGTAATAGTAACCCCATGATAACAGTTGATATGAGATTTACACTGTGATTGTCTAGAATATTTCTTCCACTGATATGTTTTACTGTGAGACTAGAGTGTGACACAATCTTGCCATCTTTATCTAATCCTGCAACAAAAAATATATCAAATTAGTGTTTTAATTCAAAAACTAATGTTCTATAATCTGGTTTGTCTGTATTACCTAAAAATCGCGGGTTACTCACGTGAATATACTGAGTAATAATAGTTTCGAACCACAAAGGGGTTCTTCCTCATGAGCAGCATGCGCGGTCGCAGTGATGTCGCGTAGCCAACCCGCGATTTTTAGTTAATTTAGTATGTATGTCTTGTATAAAAACACTGCTTTATCTATATTATTTACCTGAGTATTGCAATGTTGCTCCCATTACGGAATCTATGAAGCTTCCAAGAAATCCTCCAAGGGCACCAAAGAAAATAATAGGCCACTGAGGAGGTGCATAGGTCCATAGAGATTTCTCAGAAAAGTAATAAATTGTTAAATATTGTGATATGCCAATAGCTAGACCTCCCAATGTACTGAACACTGTACCAATCACACTAATGCCTCCATTTGTACCCTTAGGAACCCTTTTAAAAGTAGTGACTAAGTAAGGGTCAGAGTCTGAAAAAACTGTTCCCAATTCTGATGCCCAAGTGTCACCATTGCAACATGCAAATACACCTGAAATAATTACAATGTCATAAAAAATATAAGACACTTGATTTTTATTACTTTTTAAAAGGTTGGCAATCTTACCAAGCATGCCGATGGATAGCCAAGAAGCTCTGTAATCACTGACAAAGTCAATTGGCCGTTCAGAAGCTCCAACATCCAATAGATACAAAAGACCGAGTTGTGCAGCCATTCCTCCATTACAGAGCACTTGTACCCAATTTCTTTGCCCACCTGGAATGACCATAAATAATAAATAAATATTAGCATTTTTTTATTCTTTACAACAATACATTTTTTATGATAAAATTAAATTAATAAAACTTATACCTTCTTTGAAGTCTTCCTCTATCTTTCTTTTTATATGTGGTCGAATTTTTGTGGCTTTTGATGATGATATGAAGAATGTTATAAGGCAGGCCAGAAATGAGTAGTTGCTGAGTGTTAAAATAAAAGCTAATGCACATCCAAGGACAGCCCCATTTAGAGATACGCTTTTCTTTCTGTATCCATGCACAGCAATAATGAGTGGTATCAGACACGAAGCTAGCCATCTTCCAGGAGATATCACTACTGGTTCTGAAAGAAATATATTTTCTTACAAGCACTATTTAAATATGCATTAAATCTTCATGAATTCGTATCACTATATAGGTAAATGATACAGATTATCGCTATGTTGTTTAAGTTCAAAGTTCGCGGACTTAGATAAGTAAATAAAGTATATTACCATCAAAACCTTCGTTTGTTGTTATGAATTTTGAATAAATTAAGTTAATGATCCACATTGACATCGATAAGGGTATTGCAAGGGCACACAAAAGAACCGTAATTAAATGTTCATCTTTCAAAATTTTCTTATTTTGAGCCATTTTTTACTTTCACCAGCTTTTCGACACAGTATTTTACAAATTAAATATATTTAAAATGACAGAACAGGACGAGAATACTGAACAATTTATATTACATACTACTTGTTTTTACTGTAATGAACAATTTGAAAAGGAAAATTTAAGCAAATATTTTAAAATAAATTGGTGAAAGTTAAGCCCGGTGTTAATTTTCACACAAAGTAACCCATTTATTTTGTTTGAAACTTCAACTTCACTTCATATTCGTATTATCAATCAAATGGGAAATTAGTGTTGCACGTTGGACATCTATACCACTACTAAAAATTAGTATTACTTTATCGATGCCGACAATGCATAAAGACCTTGAAGTTTGCCTTTTGTAACTTTTTCACCTTTGTATAATACATCTTCATTGCATTTCACCTTGTATTTGATTATTTATACAAATGTTTTAACTCGTTGAATACCGTCAGTATAACTAATTTGGTTACTTAATATCTTGTAACTAAATTGCCATTGCTGTCGAAGTGGCAGTAGGTATTCTATAATAATAACGGATAACTTTGTATACTATTTTCAGAATTTTACTAGATAATATAACTAAATATGTATTCCATTGTCTCAAGGATGACTGTTAACGACTCATAATATATACTCTTTGTCATAATATACATAAAATATAATCACAGTAAATGGTAATGGTGTTTCATTTATTTAACATTTTGATTCTTTCTTACTTTGTATTCTTTGCACAGATGGCTTTTCATTGTTATGTACAAGTACGAATATATCTAAATATTTTTAGAATAATGTAATAATAACAAAAGAGTTAAACTATTCTTATAATATCAGTGAGTAAAACGCACAATAATCGAATAAGCAATTGATACACTTACTACTCGACTAACCGTATTATTGTTTACATCTTGTAGTTTTGCAAATGTTAAATACATCACTAGTTGTCAGTGTCATGTCATGTCAAAAATACTACTACGAGAAGAGTGTGAAGTTTTTTGTGTTCTGTGTGGAAATGAAATAAAATATTTTGTGTAAACTAATCAGTGAAATAAAGTTTTAGTGAAAATGAAGCCACTTATAGATTTCGATGAATGCTTGAGAGACTCTCCAAAATTTAGGTATTGTGATTATAGTGATCAATGAAAGTTATTCATAGAAAGTGAAATTTTGTACGTGTTGTGCGTGATAATTGTTGTATAAGCCATCCTGTTTGTTATTGTAGGGAGCAGCTGGAAACTGAAGAAGCTAGCATCGATTCATTGGAGCAGAAGCTCGATAAAGTTCTCAAAGCATGCTCTGTGATGATAGACTCTGGTAAAATCTACATGAGTCATAGAGGGTGAGGATTGTACTCCTTTCTTTTTTATTTGTATAGTTTTTCTCACACGGCGCGCTACTTCCGTATTCATAGATCAATATATCGTTAACTGGCATTAAAATTCTCGTGTTACAACATTGTTATTGTTCATAGTACTCTATTGTAATGAACTAAAATTCATAAAATGTACCTACCTATAAGAGTGGTTCATATATTTAGAACAATTTTTATCATCTATATATTCCTAAAGTTATCATTATGTCACCAGTACTTTAGTTAAACATTAAAAACCCAATTGATAAGAACATTTAATGACATCCTAATTATTATCTTCATTAATAATCTCTTTATTTACCCAAACATATCCATATCTATAGTCACTACTTAGCTATTATCTTAAAAAACCTTCAATAATATTAAAAACCAATGAATTAACAAAAGAAAGTTGCATTTTTTCTTGTCATCGTCACTTTGATTGATTTTTTGTTGAAAAAGAGATTATAGAGATACATTTTAAGTATAGTACTGATCAAGTGCCTTATAAATTAATGTTATATTGCTGTTGAAGCCGTTTTTAGAAGAATGAAACCATTTCAACACAATCAGTTATTTTTTTGTGATATTATGAAATCAAGGTTTTTCTAAGTAAATTAATGCAAAAGAATTTTAATTGCATTATTCTACATACCTTTTTGTTTTATTTATAGCACTTTTGACCCACTTTATTAATAATTTTTATATGTATTCAAATCTTTAAAAAATCAATCAAGATGCATTTTAATTTGCATGAAAACTATATATTTTATGCTGAAGTCTTCCTAAAGCAAACAACACTTAATTTAAAAAAAAAACAGCAGCATGATGGTTTTAATGTGGTTAAATTCTCTAGCACATTTACAAATGCACTATGGGACCTGACTGGGAGTTTTGCAGAGGACCCACCAGTGATGGCAACCCTTAACAGAATGATCCATTCTTTGCAAGAGATGAACAAGTTCCACTCCATCCTACTGGACCAGGTCTCCAGGACTGTGCTCAAGAATCTCACTGCTTTTATTAAAGTGTAAGTATTTTTATTTAGTAGCTTCTCTGGTTTCATCTTAGTGTAATGTTCTATATCCAGTAACTTCCTTGATAAATGAACTATCCAACACAAAAAGAATTCTTCAAATCAGACTAGTAGTTTTGGAGATTAGCATATACAAACAAACAAACTCTTCAGCTTAATAAAATAGTATAACTATAAGATATAAAATTTTAAGAGCCTCTTTAGATGTCAGGGGAAGCCTTGAAATGCCATTAGCTTTCAAGAAGTACGAATATAGGATATTTACCTGACTAAACTGCTACAGTGGTTACCATCAACACCTATATAGAGATGAAGGGTCCTCTGGATCCTCCACTGTGCAATATTTGTTGAGACACATCCCAAAAGAATGCAAAGAGCCAGTTTTACAATTCTATAGTTTCAGCAGTAAACCCATCAATAATAAAATTTGGTCTGTATGCCACACAAATTATTAATTTCCTTGTTCTATATCCTTATTCATATTGATTGAGAAAGTGTAACAAATATTATTACTATAATGTGTGTTAAAAGTCCTTATGACTTTATTTTTTTTAATTGAAAGTAGTTAATAACTATTGTTATATTCCACCTTGAAAAGCCATTGCCAACAAATTCAACTCTAATGCTACTTTCTTCGGGTGGAGCCCTATATAAGGCTGTTGCCGATAAGGAGCCGCAGAGGACTTAACGGTTTGTCGGGGCTCCGGCTCAAACAACAGGAGTAAGAACGGGGTGGTTTTTAGTCAGTAAGAGTCTGACACTCCCTCCCATCTCACCCAGCCGGAAGAAGTCATATGATGATTTACACCCCTTAAAAATAAAAGCTACTTTCTTCCCTTGACCATGTAGGTATATTGTAGAACTATACTAAGCCTTAATCCTGGTTAATAAAGTTCAAAACAAATTCTTTCCATACTACAATACAGTTCTCAAGGACTAAATGTGCACTATCACAGTCAATAATAAACAACTCCCTTGGAATAGTGTGTAAATAAATCATAATAAGAATAAAAATGTGCTGTATTGCAATTGCCTTAAAGTTGCGTTTTATGAAACATTTCACTATAAAGAGGTTCAGCTATATAATTACTTTATCTGTGTGTGTACAATGTCTAACCATTGTATTGTTTATCAAAAAATTGATAGTGTTTTTAATGTTTCGTAAACAACTGTTAAGAGATTTTTTATTGAATAATGATGTAAGTGATTTGAAAATCAAACTTACTTAATTGTAATAAGGTTGCTATTATAAAAACAATCGCTTTTTCGTTAATGCAAGACAGAGGAGCAACTATACAGAATTAATATCAACTGTCTTACGCAACATATTGATATACAAGATGTTATTACTATAAATGTAAAAGTTTATATGTATGTATATCTAAATCGATGTTTATGTTTGTAGCCAAACCACCAAGGAATAAACATGAAGTATAGTATAATATCTAGACAAAAGTTTTCAGCATACTATGATTTTTTATGCCCATAAAGATGGGTGACCTCTAAGATGCGATATAAGAAAATTACGCTACATTCGTATTTTCCTAAGTTGTATTCATTGTTATTTTACGTTAATTACAAAGTAAGGGAAAATGTGCTGATATTTATAGTTTAATGGTTCCGAGCTGAGATACAAAATAAATATTTACCTTATAGTTCATTGATTTATGTCAGTTACTCTGTCAGACCATTAAAACTGACGATAGTCGTTAAATTATTTTAGGGAGCTTGTTTATTTTATTGTACTGATTGATGAGATATAACTGCGCATCTCACCGTCTAGTCTAGTACGTAGTAGTAGTTTTTCATGACAATTGATAAGCTTTTTAATTTGAGGGGGAAAAATCGACAATTGATAAGTTTCGATTTTGATATCGAAAAATAATTACGATCTTATAATTAATTGACTTTCGTTTAGCATAGATATTGGTTGAGCTTTAAAATCTCGTTTGTTCATGATTCTCGGTACACAGTAATTGGGTGAGAATGTGAGATGGCAACGCCAATATACAAGATAACTAAATCGTTTAAAAAACAATCATCCGATCATAGTACCTCCTCCTTTTTTGAAATCGGTAATAAAATAAGTGCTAGGTAGGTGCTGTTACTCTTATCGTACAAAATAATGAAGTAAAAATCAGTTTCAGGCTTTTTTTTCAAATTACTTCATACTTGTGACAAAAGAGAGAATTAAAAGGCAATTCTTTTGTACAGATTTAAATTTTCATACATAAATGAAATAGGTAGGTATCAAACATATTACAAAGTTGATTCACTGCGTTCAATTGATAACAGTTCATAACTTCCTTTATTCGTGAGTAATGTGTACGTACAAATGTACTGAAATATTTTATAACCATCGTGTTTGTTACAGAGATATTAAAGGTGTCAAAGAAAGTAAGAATCACTTCGATAAAATCTCAAACGATCTCGATACGGCTTTAAATAGGAATTCGCAGGTAAGATAATTATAATAATGTTATTGTTGATTATTTTTTTAATGTCTAAAGTGGTTTGATACCTTAATATAAATAAAATAAAACCAATACCCATATTCGCATCTAAACATTCAAAAAATTGACAAGATTCTTATTACAAAAGCACCAATACTGGATGGCTTTTCCAATAGCACGTCACTGATCTCGATCACCAACTCTTTGCATCCAAATCCAACTACTTAGGTCAAGGAGGTTGAAAAAAAACGCGGACATAGTCTCTTGAAACAACAACTGTGGCACCTGGCTACTCTAAACTTACACGCAGAATACACACACATTAACATGAAGGACATCTGTCGTGTGACATAACCCGTCACACACTTCATACATTACGGTGTTGCAATAGGGTAAATGCCTAATTTTTATTTTAATGTCCGTCTGGTAGAATTGGTATTTTAAATCATTAGCCGCGTATTTTTTATTTCCTTACAGAAACGAATACTTTCGACGATATATTGATTATATTATTATATTGATTTGAAATGTCGCGTGAAGTCACTTCTTGGTACATTTTATACGCAGAAATGACGTTTTAGCCCCCACTCTTAAACTTTGATTCGTTACATATAAGTATTGTTTTATTATACGACAAAATAAAAATATACGTGTCTAATATTTTTTCATTAAGTACCTAACTTATGTACTAATTATATTTTTAATTTTCATACCCTGTCATCATCCCAATCACACGCACACATAAATACACCACTTACATTTTGGTGTTTTAATTATTTCTAAGACTTTACGTCCCTTTTTTTCAACGTCCTTGACCTATATATTGCCATTTTGAGAATAACGGAGGTGACTAGTTAGTTTAAATAGTCCATACAGTACAATGACCTTTATTACTAAGTGCATAAAGCATAATAATTATGTTTTATTTTCTTTTTGTCAAATTAATTAATATCAACCTCTTTGCTCAGGTATCTCGCCACAAATGCGTGGAAGTGGAGGAGGTGATGAATCTCTTGCTGGCGACGCGATCATGTTTCCGTCACACGGCGCTCGATCACGTGCAGAAGATCACCATGCTGCAGGCAAGGAAACGTCACGAAATACTGGCTACGGTGAGTTCCATGCTACAATATACCCTATGAAAAGTGCAGGAAGGTGGTTTTTCCAGTGTATGTCCACAAGTATGGTTTATATTTGGAGTAAAATAGGAATGGTAGGTTTGTTACTGCGATTTTATGAGAATTAATAGTCTCGTGCCTTCTTTTATTACGCAAGTACGTTATTATCTACGCGAGAAACGATTTGTTTTGCCAATGCCCTGCGTGTTATAACGTTGTACGTCGGTAACCGGCCTAGTATGATTTTAAAGTATTCAATAATTATTTTTTTTTATACCACGACGCGACGGTGGCAAAAAAGCACACGGACCACCTGATGGTAAGCGGTTGCCGTGGCCTATGTACGCCTGCAACACTTAGGGCATTACATGCATCTTGCCTACCCTTAAGAAACCTATTCACTGCCCTCTTGTTTTATATCTCTTCTTTTATAAACTTCGTTTAAAAAATCGACTTCAACCCCCTCTTTTTGAAGTCGATTAATTAAAATACTAAAACCTCCTTATGTGTAACATA